ACCGGGGGACGGGGCAGCCTCTGCACTGAGTGGCTGCAGCCCCCGTGCCCCTTTTTGGCTGCTTTTGAAGGCCAAGTTCAGAGTTACTCTGATGTCTTCTCCCAGTTCTGTTGTTCTTGGCCCATGAATCACCTCAGTGGAGCAGTTTAGTAATGGTTTGTTCTTATACTGTTCCCTTGGCCAGCACAGGGCAGGGATGAGTGATCCCAGCATTTAAGCATGTTCTGGAATACATCCCATTCCAGGCTACAATAAACTTTTAAGGTGACTATCAGCAGAGAAGGGGACTCCACCCCCTCCCTGGGCAGCCTGTCCCAGGGCTCTGTCACCCTCACACTAAAGAAGTTTCTCCTCACATTCCAATGGAACTTCCCATGTTCCAGCCTGTGCCCATTGCCCCTCTGTTGCTGTGACAGATTCTGGCTCCATCCTCCCTGCACCCACCCTGAGATACTTGTAGGCACTGATCAGGTCTCCCCTCAGCCTTCTCTTCTCCAGGCTGAACAGTCCCAGCTCCCTCAGCCTTTCCTCACAGCAGAGATGCTCCAACCCCCCAGTCATTGTTGCCTTCCCTGGACTCTCTCCAGCAGTTCCCTGGCTCTCTTGAACTGGGGAGCCCAGAACTGGTCCCAGTTCTCCAGCTGTGGCCTCACCAGGGCAGAGCTGAGGGGTGGGATGACCTCTTCTGACCACACTCTTCCTCACACACCCCAGGATCCCATTGCCCTTTTAGCCACCAGGGCACATTGCTGGCTCGCGTCTTACCATCTACCAGGACTCCCAGATCCTTCTCCCCAGAGCTTCTTCCAGCAGGTCCACCCCTAACCAATCCCACCCTTCCTCCCTTAGCTGATGACATCAAGCCGTGCCCACGCTGCAGTGCCTACATCATCAAGATGAACGACGGGAGCTGCAACCACATGACGTGCGCCGTGTGCGGCTGCGAGTTCTGCTGGCTCTGCATGAAGGAGATCTCGGACCTGCATTACCTCAGGTGAGCAGAGGAGCAGCACCAGGGGCCTTCTGGTGCCTGAAGGGGCTCCAGGAAAGCTGGGGAGGGGCTTGGGACAAGGACAGGGAGGGAGAGGACAAGGGGGGATGGATTAAAAGTGGGAGAGGGGAGATTGAGGTTGGACATGAGGAGGGAATTCTTGGGTGTGAGGGTGGTGAGAGCCTGGCCCAGGTTGCCCAGGGAAGCTGTGGCTGCCCCATCCCTGGCAGTGTTGAAGGGCAGGTTGGATGGGGCTTGGAGCAACCTGGGCTGCTGGGAGGTGTCCCTGCCCATGCAGGGGGGTTGGGACTGGATGATCTTGAAGGTCCCTTCCAACTCAAACCGCTCTATGATTCTATGAATTGTACCAGGAGGAGTTTTTCCTGGTGTGGAAGAGCCACCCTCATGCTGTGAAGTGGGAAGAAAGTTCAGCTCTTTGGGTCATAAAGAAGAAAACTGATGACTAATTGGAGAGGCAGGAGGATGAAAGGCCAACAAGGGAAGGGAGCTCCTCCAGCCAGCCTTGGAGAATCAGTGGTTTGGGTTGGAAGGCACCTTAAAGATCATCTGGATCCAACCCCCTGCATGGGCAGGGACACCTCCCACCAGCCCAGGCTGCTCCAAACCCCATCCAACCTGCCCTTCAACACTCCCAGGGACGGGGCAAAGTCTTGGCACACTGGATATTAAACATAGTCCCAATAGTGTGATAATCACCTTGACGAGCAAATTAACCCTGATGGGGAAAATCCAGAGAAAACCTTTCTATGTTGTCTACCCAGTTCCCACATTTTGGGGTTTGTTCACGTGGAAGTTGAACTCGGGGCTCTCGGGAACACTTTGCAGTTGCTGTGGTGCTCATGTTGTTGTTTTTTGTTTTTCCCCCCCTCCCATGAAGCCCCTCTGGCTGCACATTCTGGGGCAAAAAGCCATGGAGTCGTAAAAAAAAGATCCTGTGGCAGCTGGGGACGCTGATCGGGGCCCCCGTGGGCATCTCCCTCATTGCTGGCATTGCCATTCCTGCCATGGTCATTGGCATCCCCGTGTACGTGGGGAGGAAGGTGAGTCTGGAGAGCAGAAGGCTGGAGCTGGAGAGTTGGGGGAAGTTCTCAAAGCATCTGAGCAGAAATTTGGGGCTGATACGAAGGGTGGGTCTTGTTGTAGGACCAACATTCAGTTGTGTCTTCTGGAGCTTGTCTTATCTCTTGGGCTTTGTGTGGGAAGAGGGAAGGTGGTGGCTGATAGTCCTTCAGGCTGAGGTCCTCTCAGATGCTTTTTGCATTGCTCTTGTGCCTCTGCCTGCAGCCAGGTGTAGCCAAGGGGAAACCTGGTCCCTTTTTAAGACCTCCTGTGGTGATGGGCTCCATGGGACAGTGGCTGGACCCTGAGTGTCACACTTTGCCTTGGCTCAGGCACTCATCTAGTGATGCTGACCTGCTGTGTGACCCTGCTGTGTGTCTGATAAAGAGGCATTGAGAGGGGTGACATGACAGGTCAGCAGTGTCTTTGTAGCTCCTGCTTCTTAAAAACAGACCCACCTTCTAGATCTGGTCTGTGAGGAGATCAGTGGTCAGGATGAGGTTCCTGATGGGCTAATGCAGCTGACAAGGCTGTAAAATGATAAGATTGTTAATGCCTTCTGCTGGTGTTTGCTCGTGACCAAGCTCTGTTCTCACCTGGTGCTTCTCCTTCCATCAGATCCACAGCAGGTATGAGGGAAAGAAGACCTCGAAGCACAAGAGGAACTTGGCAATTACTGGTGGGGTCACCCTGTCTGTCATTGCCTCTCCAGTCATTGCTGCTGTCAGTGTTGGTAAGTGGACATGGTCCCTTTCCCTTCTGCTGGGCCAGTAGTCACTGAGACAGGGGGGTAGCCCAGCCCTGGGAGGTGGGGGGTGCCCTGCTGCCCTGTGCCCTGCTGGGCACATCCCTCCATTCCACATCCAGGCTGCACATCCTGGTGTGCTGGGCTCAGCACAGGGATTGTCTGGAGCACCAGCTGCCCGTGGTGAAGTCTCTTGACACCTGAAGCTGCCTCTTACCCCCAGGCTGCTGTTCTGGGGCTTCAGCTGGGGCTGTCTGTGCCCTGGGGGTCCCCTCCTCCTGCACTGCAGCAGCATGAACGAGGTCTCACCCTCCACCTGCCTGCAAAGCTGGGTCTGGGACCTTGAAAAGCACCTTCAAGCCAACTGAGCGAGTCCCTGCCCCGGGAGGTGTTTCTGTCTGCCCGACACAGCCCAGCCTCGAGCTCCTCTTAACTCAGCCCACCCTGTTCCCCAGGTATTGGAGTTCCCATCATGCTGGCCTATGTCTACGGCGTGGTGCCCATCTCGCTGTGCCGGGGCGGGGGCTGCGGGGTCAGCACAGCCAACGGGAAGGGGGTGAAGATCGAGTTTGATGAAGATGATGGACCCATCACAGGTAACGGGGGGGCTGGGAATATAAAGAGTAATGAGCCATAGCTTCTTGAGATTCATTCAATACAAAGAGGCATTAAAAAGGGTTTTCTCAGCACAAAGTGGGAAATGCCTTCCCTGCCTCTGACCCCCCAACCCCTCTGCTCTCCCTCCCCGGCAGTGGCCGACGCCTGGCGAGCCCTGAAGAACCCCAGCATCGGGGAGAGCAGCATCGAGGGGCTGACCAGTGTGCTGAGCACCAGTGGGAGCCCCACCGACGGGCTCAGCGTCGTGCAGGGCAACTACAGCGAGACCGCCAGCTTCGCCGCCCTGGCGGGGGGCACCCTCAGCGGGGGGGTCCTCTCGGGGGGCAAGGGCAAGTACAGCAGGTAACTGACCTGGGGGGCACCCACCTGGAGCAGGGGAGCTTCTTGGAGTGGCCTTGGCTTGGAAGTTCGTGTCCCGGTGTTTTTTGCTGCTTGGTTGGTTGTTGGATAACCAGTCCCCGCTGACCGGGTCACTGCTGGAGTTGGTGGTTGGCTGGTTCTTGCAAGGAGGATGTGGAAGTTTCTGTCCCTGTTGAGCTTCTGGGAACTGCAGAGCTGGTTCTTGTCAGAGGGTGAGGGGTGGTGGATTAAAACTGGGAGATGGGAGGTTTAGATTAGACATGAGGAGGAAATTTCTTGAGTGTGAGGGTGGTGAGAGCCTGGCCCAGGTTGCCCAGGGAAGCTGTGGCTGCCCCATCCCTGGCAGTGTTGAAGGGCAGGTTGGATGGGGCTTGGAGCAACCTGGGCTGCTGGGAGGTGTCCCTGCCCATGCAGAGGGCAAGATCTAGATGATCTTGAAGGTCCCTTCCGACCCAAACCATTCCATGATTCTATTATATGATTCTATGATTCTCCAGCTTAATTGGGAACACAACAGACATGTCCTGCTTAAAGATATTCCAGTCCTCCCATCCCAGCCTAAAGGCTCTGGTGCTCCCCGTTCTCCTGTGGCCCATAGCAAGCAGGGTCACTGCTTCCCAAGTCAGGAGGTTACACCACAGTTTTCCTCCAAACTTGCCTGTGAGTCAGTTTGTTGGGTAATTAGACACGTGTTGCTGCAGCAACCAGGATATAATCATGGCTTGGTGCTGGATCTGTGGAAATTGGTTCTTCACAGGAAAGGTGTGAGTCATGGACACAAACACAACTTTACCTTCATCAGGGAAAACAGGACAAGTTCAGCTGAAGGGAGCCAAAAATGAGACGAAATGAGAGGAACTGTTGGGGTTAAACTCTGAGCTGGGCCAGCAGAGAGGGCCTCTTGCCTTCCCATGACAAACAGGGACTGGCTGATGCCCCTTGGGGACCATCCCAGGCATTTCTGAGGAATCCTCTTCTTTTCTGCAGACTGGAAGTTCAGGCAGATGTCCAGAAGGAGATCTTCCCCAAGGACTCGGTCAGCTTGGGGGCCATCAGTGACAACGCCAGCACTCGAGCCATGGCTGGTTCCATCATCAGCTCCTACAACCCCCAGGACAGGTAGGAGGGCGTGTGATGGTGGGAAGGGTGTTGGTAGTGGAGCTGCTGTGGGTGGTGAGCTGACTGTAGCTGTGTCAGCCTGCTCTTCTGGAGCTGGCAAGTGGCTCAGTCCCCTTCCTCACACAGAAGGAGAACTGGGGACAGTTTGGGAGCAGCCTCCAGGTGTAGTGTGGAGATTGAGGGGGGAATCTGCAGCCCAGGACCCTCAAGGTCTGTTCCTGGCTGCTCACGGGGACTCTGGTGCTTTCCCAGCTTGGTTCCTGACTCTCAGGCTGGGAATGACCTTGGCTGCTGATAGGAGGGCTGAAGAAGAGCAGTGGGTACTGCTGTTCCCCAGATGCTCTGGGGTGATGAGCAGCCTTTTGCTCATGTCTGGGGAAGGTGATCCTCCCAGTACAGTGATGCAGTGACCCAGCTGCACCCAGTAACTCTGCCCAGTGACACAAGGCTGCTTGTTTCTGCAGGGAGTGCAATAACATGGAGATCCAGGTGGACATCGAAGCCAAACCAAGTCACTACCAGCTGGCCAGTGGCAGCAGCACAGAGGACTCCCTGCACGTCCACACACAAATGGCAGAGAACGAGGAAGAGGAGGAGGAAGAGCAGGAGCAGCTGTGCCAGCACCAAAGCTGTGAGCAAAGGGACTGTGTTGCCAGCAAAACCTGGGACATCACCCTGGCCCAGCCCGAGAGCATCAGGAGCGACCTGGAGAGCTCGGACAGTCAGTCGGACGACGTGCCCGACATCCCCTCGGATGAGTGCAGCCCCCCCTGCTCTCAGACTGCAGCAGCCTGTCCCCAGCCTGTCCCCAGCAGCCCCCAGCCCATCCCCAGCCCCCAGACCCCCAGAGCGAGAGGTGCCGAGAGCCCAAGTGCCCACCTGAGCCACTGTGCCCAAGCTGGGGGCTGCAGGCTGGACGAGATGGTCAAACTGGAGTGCATCGAAGCCCGAGTATGAAGGGGCCTCCTGCTGAGGAGCACACTTGGTTTCATTGCTTTTTTAGTTTTCTGGGGGAGGGGAGGGCCCAGGGTTGTGTCCATGTTGGCTTCTGTTGTTCTCCAGCTGCTTTCCCAGCCTGGCCTGGGGGAGCTGCTGGTTCTTATGGGACAAAAAAGAAAAAGGGGCAAAAAAAAAAACAAAAAAAAGGGGAAAAAAACCCCAAACCAAACCTAACAAAATAATTCCCTGCCCTCATTTTGTTTTAATTTATTGATTCAAGCTCTGTGAGGTGTGTAAGAGTGTAAATATGTACGTGTGTCTGTATGTCTGCAAACATCCCAAGGGACTATTGGAATAAAGACTCTCGTTGTCATTCGACTCTGGCATCCAGCTCCTCCTTCCCAGGGAGTGGGGAAATCCTCTGGCTGCCTCTGTCCCTGGCTCCAGCCTCTGGAAATGCTGCCCCAGTCCCAGGCGTGGGGAAAATGGGGACATCTCTTCCTCCTCTAGGAAGTGTTGGTGTGACAGCCTGGGTGCTGGGGTTGGTGCATGTGGCTGGATCTGCTTTGTCCTGGAGCTGTGGCAGGGAGGGGGGGTCTCTCTTCTCCCCCCTCCCTGGGCAGCAGGGTTGGGGAGGGGTTAAAAGAGGGGACTAATCCTGTGCTGAGCCAAACTCCAAGCACTGCTGGGTGCAAGGGATGTGAGGAGGCTGAGGGCTGGGCTGGTAGCTCATGTGGGACACTAGGGAAAAGTGTGTTTAAGCTTGGGTGGGACCAGGTCCTTTCCCAGTTCTGCCCCCAGAGCCAGGGCCATGTTGCTGTCCCTGTCACTAAATGGTGGGTGCCTCATGTCTGCAAGTTTCTCTGCAGAGATCTGGCAAGGATCTCCCAGGAGCATGGGAGGGCTCCCCAAAACACCCTGAGTTCCTCTCGAGGTATTGTAACTTCCCCAGAAGCTTTGTGAGGACAATTGCCAGCAAACTGGCTCCTCTGAGTCACCTCCTGGGAAGTCAGCACCAGCCCTGAGCCCTCTGCTCTTCCCTCTCTCTGCAGGTTGGTCCTTGGAACCTGGCAGTGCTGGTCTCTGCTCCGTGGTGCAGCAGCATCTCACCTGGGGGGGCTGCCCCTTCCCAGCCCCTCAGCCCGTGGCTTTGGACCCACCTGGCTGGGCCCCAGCCTGCTGCCCTCGCTGGGGGGGGTGGACCTGAGGTGGGGGTGGCACGGATGGATGGGGAAGAGGGTGAGATGGCATGTCACAGCACTGCATGTCACAGCACTGCATGTCACAGCACTATGTGTCACAGCAGTGCATCACAGCACTGCATGTCACAGCACTGCATGTCACAGCACTATGTGTCACAGCAGTGCATCACAGCACTGCATGTCACAGCACTGCATGTCACAGCACTATGTGTCACAGCAGTGCATCACAGCACTGCATGTCACAGCACTGCATGTCACAGCACTATGTGTCACAGCAGTGCATCACAGCACTGCATGTCACAGCACTGCATGTCACAGCACTATGTGTCACAGCAGTGCATCACAGCACTGCATGTCACAGCACTGCATGTCACAGCACTATGTGTCACAGCAGTGCATCACAGCACTGCATGTCACAGCACTGCATGTCACAGCACTATGTGTCACAGCAGTGCATCACAGCACTGCATGTCACAGCACTGCATGTCACAGCACTATGTGTCACAGCAGTGCATCACAGCACTGCATGTCACAGCACTGCATGTCACAGCACTATGTGTCACAGCAGTGCATCACAGCACTGCATGTCACAGCACTGCATGTCACAGCACTATGTGTCACAGCAGTGCATCACAGCACTGCATGTCACAGCACTGCATGTCACAGCACTATGTGTCACAGCAGTGCATCACAGCACTGCATGTCACAGCACTGCATGTCACAGCACTATGTGTCACAGCAGTGCATCACAGCACTGCATGTCACAGCACTGCATGTCACAGCACTATGTGTCACAGCAGTGCATCACAGCACTGCATGTCACAGCACTGCATGTCACAGCACTATGTGTCACAGCAGTGCATCACAGCACTGCATGTCACAGCACTGCATGTCACAGCACTATGTGTCACAGCAGTGCATCACAGCACTGCATGTCACAGCACTGCATGTCACAGCACTATGTGTCACAGCAGTGCATCACAGCACTGCATGTCACAGCACTGCATGTCACAGCACTATGTGTCACAGCAGTGCATCACAGCACTGCATGTCACAGCACTGCATGTCACAGCACTATGTGTCACAGCAGTGCATCACAGCACTGCATGTCACAGCACTGCATGTCACAGCACTATGTGTCACAGCAGTGCATCACAGCACTGCATGTCACAGCACTGCATGTCACAGCACTATGTGTCACAGCAGTGCATCACAGCACTGCATGTCACAGCACTGCATGTCACAGCACTATGTGTCACAGCAGTGCATCACAGCACTGCATGTCACAGCACTGCATGTCACAGCACTATGTGTCACAGCAGTGCATCACAGCACTGCATGTCACAGCACTGCATGTCACAGCACTATGTGTCACAGCAGTGCATCACAGCACTGCATGTCACAGCACTGCATGTCACAGCACTATGTGTCACAGCAGTGCATCACAGCACTGCATGTCACAGCACTGCATGTCACAGCACTATGTGTCACAGCAGTGCATCACAGCACTGCATGTCACAGCACTGCATGTCACAGCACTATGTGTCACAGCAGTGCATCACAGCACTGCATGTCACAGCACTGCATGTCACAGCACTATGTGTCACAGCAGTGCATCACAGCACTGCATGTCACAGCACTGCATGTCACAGCACTATGTGTCACAGCAGTGCATCACAGCACTGCATGTCACAGCACTGCATGTCACAGCACTATGTGTCACAGCAGTGCATCACAGCACTGCATGTCACAGCACTGCATGTCACAGCACTATGTGTCACAGCAGTGCATCACAGCACTGCATGTCACAGCACTGCATGTCACAGCACAATGTCACAGCACTGCATGTCACAGCACAACGTCACAGCACTGCATGTCACAGCATGAGCCCCATGGAGCAGAGGGGTGGAGACAGGGCTGTGCTTCCCCTTGGTGGAGCAGGGGAAGGTGGAGTTAAGCTTTTGTTGGTCCTGGGGAGCTGGTCTGACAGGAATTGGAGCCACACTGGGGTGCAGCAGGTGAGCAGCTCCAGGGACCTGAGCCTGCCCGGGACCCCAGTGGATCCAGTTGCCACCCTGGGGGCTGCAGGCAAGGGTGGCCCTGGGGACATCGAGGGGCTCTGATGGCCTGATCCTGGCCCCGTGGAGATGTGTCAAGTGGGTGAGTCTGGGTCTGGGGTGGGGATGGTGACAGGAGGGTGCCCACCCTGCTTGTGGCTCCAGCACTGTCCTACTGCAGGGGAAACTGAGGCAGGGAGGGGAGTCAAGGGGCTCGGGACAGGGTCAGGGAAAAGAGCTGAGTAGGTGTGGGAGCAAAAGTGGGTCTGGGGTGTGTTCTGAGGAGAAAACAGCCTGGCTGCTGCTGTTGCTGCTCCTCAAAGCACCGGGTGCCAAAACCCAGTACTGAAGCACTGGGTGGGTGCTGCTCACCCCAGGAGCTCTTGTTTGTGGGTGTTGCTCTCCCTAGAGCTGTCTCCTGGTTCCAGGGAGCCCCAGCCCTTCCCAGGCCCATGGGGGAAGCCTGTCCTCATGGCTGCTGGCCCCACACCACCACCCTGGTCCCAGGAGAGCAGGTTGGAGCAGTGGGATGCATACCTGGGCTGTCAGTGACTGCCACCACATCACCTCCTGCCTCATCCCCCACCAGCTTATGGGCCACGTCCTCTGGGGCTGTCCCCAAACACCCTGTGGCTGTGCTGGCCACCCTGTGCCACCTCCTTGTCCTCCTCTCCCTCTCAGGCCACCTCGACCCCAGCAGCCACCAAAGGGTCCTCATGAAAACGGGCCTCATCCTCCTCATCATCGGGCACCTCAACTTCATCGCTGGTGGCCTCGTCCATGGCATTGTCCTCCGCTTTGTGGTCGACCCCCAGGACCCCATCTCCCTGCTGTACGGTGTCACCAACGTCACCTCCGCCGTCGCCGCGCTGCTGGTGCCACGGGGGGGCAGGAGGAGGAGGGATGGATGTGGGATACGGGGCGGGATGCAGGAGGGGGAGGGATGGATGCGGGATACGGGGTGGGATGCAGGAGGGGGAGGGATGGATGTGGGATACGGGGTGGGATGCAGGAGGGGGAGGGATGGATGCGGGATACGGGGCGGGATGCAGGAGGAGGAGGGATGGATGCGGGATACGGGGCGGGATGCAGGAGGAGGAGGGATGGATGCGGGATACGGGGCGGGATGCAGGAGGAGGAGGGATGGATGCGGGATACGGGGCGGGATGCAGGAGGAGGAGGGATGGATGCGGGATACGGGGCGGGATGCAGGAGGAGGAGGGATGGATGCGGGATACGGGGTGGGTGCAGGAGGAGGAGGGATGGATG